TTATTGTCTGTGGCAAATTGATTTGCTTAATAAGAGAAGAAAATAAGAACTTAAGAGTATTATCTACCTAACATACCAGAATTGGATTTTTTTTTATTATCCTTCATGAAAATAGTATAAAAAAGTTGCAAAAGTTTTAAGCAAAATATAGAATGTGTCTATCAAAGGAAGCTGCAGAGATGTGTATTGAAACACAGACTTGCAAAATAGCAATTACAGTTGAAGCAGGCTTAGTATCACAGCCTTACAGATAAAAGTGAAGTGCCTTGCACACAAGGGGAAAGCTGCTGGCTAAATTTCAGGAATGAAGAGCTAATTGAGTATAACGTGCTTAGATCTCTAGCATGTTATTGGAATAACACTATGAAAAAGTTATCTAAATGTTGTGTGAAACATAAGGAATTCGGTTTTTTTATGGAAAGTAAAATATTTTAATGATTTCTGCACTTCTGCATTTTAATTTAAAAGTGAAACAGGAACAAAATTAAGCACATATCAATTTAGTTAAATATTCAGGTGCTGAATTATTTACTGGTTTTAAATTTGGTGCATTAAACTATACTGTAACTATAACCTTCTGTTAGTCCCTAAAATCATGCTTCTTTTGAAATAACAGTTGTAGGTCTAGAATCTGTCTTGGTTTGGTCTCGTGTCACTATTCTGCTGTAGAACTTGCATGATCCTACAGCCTAGATCAAAGGATGACAATATCCCAAGTTTGGTGGGACCCACAGAGATCACTGAGTCCAATTCCTGGCTCCACACAGGTCCACCCAGAAAGAAACCCTACATCTGACAGCTTTGTCCAAACACTAAATGAATTCCAGCATCACGGGACCATGACCATTGCCTGATTAGCCTGTTCCAGAGCCTGACCACCCTTTTGGGAAGAACCTGTTCCTAACACCCGGCCTGACCCTCTCCTGACACAGCTGCGTGCTGTTTCCTCAGGCCCTGTTGCTGTCACAGGGAACAGAGCTCAGTGCTGCCCCTAGGTGAAGTGATTATTTCAACCTAACTTAGTTTTTATTCATTTCCTTTTGGTGGCTGTGAGTATAGATAATTTCCTTAAAGCAATACACTAATGTCAGCATTTCAGAGTTTTCTTGGAAGATAAAAAAGCCTCGGTGTTAATTGTTTTTAATTCTGTTGTTTGGCATGTAGGTGTCTTTTTAAAAATGTTTCTGCAGGTCTTCTTTGTGTAAACGTGGTCTACTCACCGTTAAGCCCCAAGTCTTGAGAGTGACTTTGTCCTTTTTTTTTCTTGTGAGGGATAACTCAACCCTTTGTGTTGCTGGTTGTCAGCTCTGTGCTCAGCCTGGATTATGTTACTGTTGTGACCCAACTGGATCATGATTGTTGAGGTTTCAAAATTACCTCAGGCTAAATTAAGGTGAAACGACACCAGCAGACTGGTTAAATATTTATTTGTATCTCACTATGATACCTAGCACAAGACATGGAGAATACATATATTTAAATTTCTATACTGCATTGGTGATAAGCTATGATGATATGCCTTGGGTTGCATCCTAATGTAACCTGAAAAGAGAGAGGAGAAAAAAAAAAAAAAAAGAGACAAGAGAGGTGGGAAGAGGAAAAGGGAGTGGATAGGCATGGAAGGAAAATCCAGATTACCACCTTGCTTCCAGTGTAGTCTCTGCTCTAGTAATACCCAGGTGGCAGGTGCACACCTGACCATTGAGTTGTAGTCCTTTTTATTTGTCACAAAAGTATATTGCATACATATCTGTAGTTTGCATGTGAGGTGGGAGTAGGTGGAATTCAGCATTGACCCTTTATCCAGACAAAATCAGGGTCATTGAGACTCTATTTCATATCACGTGAGTCACTTTAGCACCTCTTGCAGCAGGGAACCCTGCCCACATTTGCATGGGAGAGCAGTGCCATCCATCCATCTACTCTGCACCCTCCTCAGGAGAGCACTTTTGGTTTCCTGTTCTGGCTGCAAATTAAACACACCATTTCCCTTTCTTCTTCACTGCTAAGCAATCCCTTAGTGACTGAGACATTCAAACAGCTTTAGAGATTTTCCACAGGACTTTGCAGGTACTATCTTAAAATTGTTCTCCAGTGTGTCTTGTAGAATAGAGGGAGAGGACCTTGCTCATTTATTCCTTAACATATCCTTGCTTTTTATGAAGGCAGTTGCTATTTTAATGCAAGTCTGTTCCTTTATACAATTTCTCTTTAAATTTATTGCATTTCAGTTTCTTTCAGTACCGTAGTTGGAAGTCAGTCGTGTCTTGCTACTGGTGTGTGTAGAGCTGTTCACTCACTAATGAATACTCCGCATTAATAAATGTTTGCTTTAATCAATTGTGTAACATCAAATTGTCAATGGAATGCATTGCTTTTAGAAGAAAAGGAATTAATTTGCTAAGATTAAAGCAAATCTGAAGTAGGATTGAAACAGAGATACATGACCTTGGTTAAGGGAACATATCATCAGGGAATAACAGGTAAAAGGTTTCTTCAGTGACGAATAAAAACAAGGTTCTTACTCAGACATAATGGATAGAATAGTATTAATGTTGACTTTCAAAGTGTTTATTCTTACAAGCTGTCTTTGAAGTTGTTTGATAAATCTTAAGTTGAGCAAGAATAATTAGATTTTTTTCTCCCCCAGTTGGTGTCATCCGCTGTCCAATTTGTGGTCAGGAATGCGCAGAGAGACACATCATAGATAACTTTTTTGTGAAGGATAACACAGAGGTTCCTAGTAGCACAGTAGAAAAATCAAATCAGGTAAGTGCATTAACATGTAATCAAGTTAACACATGTTGGATGTGTATGCATGTCCTTGGCTTCTTGCTGCATGGCCTTTTTGCTATTCATATACAGAAAAAGACTTGAAGTACTTAATCATCACATGAAATAGCTACTCTAGAAAATCAATTGAAATATATGAAAGTGCACGTGAAGAAGAAAGTTGTTTAAGCTATTTTTAATTATCAATATAAAATTGCATTGTGATAATAAAAACTAAATATAAGAAATAGGTATTAGAATGGAAATTTCTAGACTTTGGACAGGACACTTTCAGCACTCTTTGATGCAGAGACCTGAATGACACCATGTCAAGAGATCCCAATGTAAAATGCAATCCTCTGCTTCAGTCAACTTTTATTTTTCATATCACTGACAAAACACAGCACTAAATAATGTGTCTTCACTGTTAAGTAATGAGAGAGACCAAGTATCTTTTCAAGATTTTATTAAACTCCAGAACTTCTTGGAAATGATTCAGCTTCTTTATGTTGCTGCGTTCTTGGTAATAACAATAAAAAAAAAGATTACTGTTTCAATCTGATGTCTATTTTAAACTAATCCAATGTCACTTGGATTGTGGCCTTAAAGAACTTCTTGGAAATTGCCTGTTTCTTCATCTTGTTCTAGGGAAATGTATTATTGGCATTCAATCTATTTGTTTTGAGGATGTTTTCTTAGAAGTCCTTTATTGTGTAGTCTGCTTGTTTGAAAGCTTAGCTGAAACTTGTGCTTACCTGTGTGAATGGGTATGTCTGTCAAGAATCAGTGGAAATACCCAGTCAGGTTTGTGAAGCTGACTCACTGGCTATTAAAGGCATATGTTTTGTCCTCATCTCCAAGAAAGAGGACTTAAATTTATGTCTCCAAAAGCCATTTAACTGTCTTCAGTGCATTTTGCAGCTCTGATTCTTAGAAATTGTATGTCCTATCTGAGACTGGAATTTAGTTGGAAGTCTCCGAAGTACAAGCAATAAGTCAGTGTTCTGTTGACGTAGGATTGTTTGAAGCTGTTTTTTAGGATTTTTTGTTTTTACTCTGCCAGTAAATGAAAATCGTCCTTGTTGCTTCAGTTAGGAAGAAGAAAAGCAAGATAACAAATTGCTTTGCTAGGCAGAAGCAGTCCTGAAATTTTCCAGTTTTCCATTTTTTTTTTTTAATGTTTTTTCTTTGGGGTCTTTGTCATAACCTCTGGGTAAGTTATATAACTTGTCCCGTGACATACTGCTTTGAGGAGTTGTGATAGAAACAGAATTATTTCTACTGGATTTGGTGGCAAAGAAGAGTTTTTGTTTTCATTCTTTCTCTAGATTTTTCTTAAACTTTAAGGTGGGGGGCAATTGAGACCTTTGTGTCTTAAATAAGGAATGGAAAATTCAAGGATTTGTTATTCTTGGAAGTTGATGGTAACCATGCAAAACTGGGCATGCTCCTCTGAGCTATAGGGTATCAACAGCTGGAGTATGCACCAAACTCAGGGCTGTCAGGGTGAAGTCAGGCACTTATATGATACCAAAGTAGATACTGTGTATTCTTCCAAAGAAGAACTAGTATGCTAAATACCTTAACAAAGCTGTAGCCATGCTGAAAACATCTTTGAAAGTTGCTGGTTTAGAACAGTCGATCATAGGCTGTCTTGATATAGTTGTGATGTGCTTAGTAGCAAGGTGGCTGATAATGGGATGTTGCAGAAACAATATGTTCCGTAGGGTTCATGATTTAAGATGTGAGGATAAGATTTATATTTAGAAGTACAGATGGGTGAGTATGTCCCAAAAGGCAGATGTTGTCGTTGCTGCTTTTGTATGTGCCAAGAAATATCACCTTTGGCACCGGTGTTTTTTAAAATAGAGGTTACTATTATATCTAATTTAAGCTGGAGTAATTTTTATTCAGAATATTAGTTGAACAGATGTTTCTGTGGAACGCTACTTAGTTCTTTTCCTTCAAAACTCAAAAACTTTTGCTTATTTAATCTCTTTGATACTTAAGGCTAATTGGAAGAGTAGGTAGTACAGAGTAGCAGCTGAGAAGACAGCTCTATTACCTCAGCTCGTGCATACGAATCTGTCTTTAAGTAAATAAACAAGCTTTTAGAACAGAAAATATCATAACCTGCCTGCAACATGCTGAGTAATTTCATCTTATATTAAAATTGAATGAAGGCTGAGTGAACACTTCCCAGGGTTATAAATACTAAAACTAGTAACTGAATTAGACATAATTAGAAGGAAAAGTCAACTAAAAATAAATCTAGCTAACCAGAATAAAGACTTATAAGTTGACTAGGGAGAGTTTCCTTTGAAATTACTAAAGGAGTGCTTGTATGAGTCAAAATAAGTGTGGCACAAGTTTTAGATTTTGTAAGAATATAGCTTATATTTCCGGTAATTATGTTTCCATGTACTTTAGGTATACAGTTTCTTCTAATAAGTCAGGGCTCTAGCAAAATCTAATCTCCGTCTGAAAATGCATTTTTCAAATAAGAACTGGGTAGAAGCAAATTTAGTTTTTACCTACAGTGCAGAACTATTTTGACAGCATGAGTTATAATATCTATAAGGAAGTTTATAAATCTGTCTGTCTTCTACTTGTTGGATTTGAAGAGTATAAAGTTGCAATACGTGTATTTTTGGACTACAAAGAAGGAGTTTCAGTTCATTTCACACCACCTGACTGTTGGTTATTGAATCACAGAGTTCTTTCTAACAGTGACAGGTCAAAACAGGCAGAAAAAAGTTAAAGCATATTGCAAGAAGTAAGTAGACAAAGATCTTGGAATCTAGGAAGAAAGATTTGTTTCTGAAATCTTTTGAACTAATTTGAATGGTCTGACACATATCAAGCTTACCTACCTGAGTTTGGTAAAGGTGACCTGGAAAGAGCATAATGTATTTATTAATTTTTTAATACTAATTGGGTTTTCACCTTTTCTGTTTTGTTTTGCTTTTTGATTTAATAATAATAATGAAAAGGCCTGAAAGATTGGTGGTTTTTTTTGTTTTTTTTTTTTTTCCTGCTTATCTTATTTTCACTTCTTTTATTTTTCTAGTTTAAAGAAAAATCTTACTTCTCATTTTCTATATTTGCAAAACCACTTCTAGTCAATCTGGGAGCATAGCATGATAATGCTTCTCTACCAACATGTTCTTTAACTTTCTTTTTGGCCTGCAGAAGTTTTCTGCCCAGTCAGCAGTGCTCATGTAACTGATCACTGGGCAACAGTGATGCAATCAATCCGGTTTTACACCAGCCTTGCAAAAGATTGCATCAGTACTCTTACAAAGAAGAAATGGAAAAGGAGGCAGAGAATTTCCTTCATGGGTTTTGCAGCCAGAGAAAATATAACATTGAATTAATGCCTTGGTGATGCTTATTTACTTTTAAATTCTTTTTTAAGGATTCAGTATGGCTTCATGATTCCCTCTCCCCCTCCCCCACCCCCAGAGTGTCATAGAAATTAAAACTTAAGGACAAGTAAAGTTTTTAACTTCCAAGTTATAATTAACTTCCTTTGTTTTCTTTTCATTTTCTTGAACATTTTTTATGCCATTTATATTTTTCCCTAATCAACTGGTCTAGATAGCAATAGAATTTTTGTTGCTGAAGAGATGATGGGGAAAAAAAATAAAAATAGGCAGAACATATTATTTTTTTAAGCTTTTTAATAAGACTTTCAGGCCTCCTTTTTGTAAAGAAACAGAAAAAGGGGCACAAGCCCAGTTTTTGTTTTCCTTTTCAGGTCACCTTTACGAACATGAACTGCCTCATACTCCAAGTGACAACAAGAGGGGTCTCCCACCCTTGTGTTGTAACATCATTTCTCAGAAGATATTTGCAGTGAGAGGCAACACGATCCAGAAGAATAAGCACAGCGTTGGGAATCTGGGACTCGTATTTTCAAATTCCAGTTCTGTCAGTAACTTGCTATGTGGCCTAAGGCAAGTCAGTTCACCTCATCAGCTAATATTCTTCATTTTCTGGAAGGGGCAAACTGGGACATAGTTGTACATATCTGCTTAGGATAAAAATTGTCGCTTCTGCTTTAATATCTTTATCTTGTGTGGGTGCAGAAGCTGAATTTTTAAAAAATGAAACTAAAAGGAAAAGCAGGATCTAAAATTTTGTCCCTTGTATCCTGTAAGCATAATTCTGTTGGTGGGATCTCTAGGGTAGAGTGATCATCAGACAGCTTGAATCCTTGTGTTTGCAGCAGTGCTAAACATTGATAGAAATGGATGATAGTTGCCTAAAAGCTTCAAGGTATAACTGGAGAGGGGGTTGGGAAGGAGGAGTTATGTGACTCTAAAGGAGGACTTAAAAATGAAATTTACGAGCATGTAAATTGTTGTTGTCTATCACTCTTTGTTTTCAACCTGTTGCTGAAATTGTTGGTCGGTAAGAAATCTTTCTTATGGATATACTCATTTTATGCAGGGACATTTTGGTTGCTGTCAGGTGTGTTTTCCTAAATTACCTTTTTTTTCTCTTGAGTGTAGTCCAGAGGCCACAGTTTGAAAAATATTATAGATTCCCTGAAAATCTCTTGAAGAGTAGCTTTACTAATAAGCTTCACTGTAATCTGTCTCAAAGTAGTGATGCAGAGTTTCTTGAGAGGAACCCTGCTATTTTTAACTTTGTATATTTCCTGTAACTTTGTATAGATGAACAGAAACTAAAACTAAAGCTTGTCTTCTAAAATCAGAGAAGTGCTGATTGTGTTCTGTCTTTACAGTATGCTCTTGTGAAATATCTATTGTATAGTAAACATTATACAACTTCTAAGTGTGCAGTGTCAGGTGGAAAGTAATGGTTTGACTTTTATGATGTCAGGTAAATGTTCTAGAGTAGCACTGACAAAATGACCATTTTCTTTGACAAGTCACATTCAATTACTTTTATATAGTTATTTATAGTGTTCCTGTACCTCAGGCAGTTTTCCGTTCTCATTTCATTCTTGTAGGAAAACTATAAAAGTGCATTGGTTATATATGAATAATAGCTTGTATGTATATGCCATATTTATTTTCATAGCTACCGTTTTGTTCCTCTTTGTGTCAGGTCTGCACAAGTTGTGAAGACAATGCAGAAGCTCACGGGTTTTGTGTAGAATGTGTAGAATGGTTGTGCAAGACCTGCATCAGAGCTCACCAGAGGGTTAAATTCACAAAAGATCATACTGTAAGACAGAAAGAGGAAGTATCTCCAGGTAACATACTTGATTTATAATTTTGCAAAGGATGTGTGTTAATCACAAAGAATGCATCAGAAAACCAAATTAAATCAACACATTTAATTTTTAAAGTGATACATTTCAAAAATGCCATCCCTTAATCTTAGTAAATGTAAAAGGACAGATTCAGTATGGTGTAAGCCCTTGGTACATATGAATACTAACTAAATACATTTTACTTTCTGATTGGTACAGGAAGTGTTGGTAGCTTCCTGCCTCCCACTCCCTTATTTCAGTTCCACTCTGAAGGCTGCAACCATTTGAACTAATTCTGGTGTTTCTTTGGAAACACTTTAAACTCTAAGTGAATCTCTGACATGGCTCAACTAACAAACGAGAAAACTGTTGTTTTTTTGTTGTTGTTGTTAAGAATTAGATTCATTAGAATGTAGCTACTGAAAAGAGAAATTTCTGTCATAGCTGCAAGTATAATACTCGATTTCTTCTATCAGATATGATGCATAGTGGTGAGAAAACCTAAAGATTAGTATTTAATTACAATTTTTATGTTGAAATGTTTTAAACATTATACATACCAATATGAATATAAAAAGAATACAGATATAAAAGTGATGTTTCATCTGGAATGATTGCACATTATTGTCTTGACTTTACAGATTAACCGCAGAAAATGCTTCTTTGTGTATTTGGCTCTTCTAACTTTTCTAGAGATCTACTAAATAGTTATGTTAACTTACTGTAATACCACAGCAAAGGGAGAACTAATAAATTAAATTCTTTCTGCACTGATAATAAGGACATGTTTTGTTAGCAATGGAGCGTGCCAGAATTCACATTTTAGCTAAGTATATTTTAAGTTTGACATGTTTTGCTTTAGAAATTCAAGGAAAATATGTTATGAATTTAGGAGTTTTTCCTCAGTAGGATCTGGGAAACTTGAGGTTAGAAGGAACCTCAGGAGAATATCTAGTCCAGCCTCCTGCCTAAAGCAATTCAGCTTTGAAATCACAACAGGTTGTTCAGGGCTTTGTCCTTTTGGGCCTTGAAAACAAAGATTGTTGCAGTGTACAGTACAGGCCTATAAGAAATTTTGAGTGTTCTCATTGTGAATGCCTAACTCTTCTCATGGTGAGAAAGGTTGTACTTTTATTTACATCTTTGTTTCAGTTTGTGCTCACTTAGTCTTGTCTTTGAGCAGCATTAGGACATTTATAAAAGTGATAGGGTGCTGACTCAGTCTAAGTCCTAGTAAGTCCTTTGGACATAGATGATCTTGTAATTATGTATTCTATTATTGTGAACTATTTTCTGCTATTATAAAGACGTATTTATTTTTCGCTCCTCATTTGTGTCAATTTCTGTGGATTTTATATGTGACAGGATTTATCATTTCTGTAATCTACTTCTCAAAGGGTAGTTTCCAGTATAGTATATTTTGGGTGCTGTATTTACATCCCATTTTAATACTAGTTAATCAAAAGTGTCTGCTGAATGTACGTGGAAAGGACAAGAGTCGTGTATAACTTATTTTGAACGTAATTTGCCATAGGAAGGCTGAAAGGGAATATTCAGTCCTCCTCTGAGTCTGCTAGCCAGTTTCAAATAATTGTGGTGAAATATAGATCAGAAAATCACGCTGTAGATTTTAATAAAATAAGCAAATGAATGGGTACAGAAAAGTGACCTTCCTGGTCTGCAGTGAAGAAAGAGCTGCAGTGTGAAGTCAGTTATCATTACAAGCTGTATAATCCTCTTTTACTCAATATACAGCCCAAGTCATAATATATATATTTTTTCTCATTACATTGCATAGAAGAACAGGTATCATTTTTAACATGTGATGGTGTTTCCTATGCTCATTTGTATTTACTACAAGAACTGAGACTTCCAACCCATTTAGAGTGAGCTCCTGAAGAAACATTAGTAACTTCTGGTTAGCGTATAGATGAGGAGCATAATAAGGAAAAACATGATAATGCAAATCTATAACAATTTCAAGAGTCTAGACTGACATCTTCCTATAATCAATAGAGGCAGTTGGTGTGACCAGTCAGCGACCTGTGTTTTGCCCTTTCCACAAAAAGGAGCAGCTGAAGCTATACTGTGAAACGTGTGACAAGCTGACCTGCCGAGATTGTCAGTTACTAGAACACAAAGAGCACAGGTATGAAAACAAAGTCAATGTTTTATACAACTTGCTTGCAGGAAAACAACTTGAAGTTAATTGTGGCTGTAGCAATATGCAATTCAATTGGGTGAAAAATTAAATTTTCTGATCAGGAAAAAAATAGAGATTGTGTCTAAAAGAACATGGCTGGCAAATGCATGATAGTTTGGAGTTAAACCTAATTCTTTCAGTTTTTACTCTGGTGACTTAAGAACAAGACCTTTATTTACTGACAATTTATTTGGATGGAATTTGTTGCTGTGCAGTTTTTCAGAGAGACCTTAGAAGGCACCGAGGCTGTTATGTAACTCTATGCTTATGTGTAATTTTTCCATTTGTCCTTCAACAAGATGTTTATATAACCAAACAATACCCAAGAAATTTAGAAGGGAGCAAATGGGCAGTTTTTCTATGAAGAGCTCTTCAAAAAAGAAAAGTAAATCTGAAGTTTAACTATGCTGTACTTTGAGAATGCTATTTAATAGCATTCAAATTTTAGGTTTCTGTTCTTTGGTCATTTCCTACTGGCCATGGAGGATGAAAAGAGGAATAATATACAACTCCTGAGTATACAACAGTAATTTTCTGTTAACACATAACAGTATTGGCCTGGGACAGAGTGCTCATAGGTTAAACATTACTATGTTCACTAAGTGTAACCACCCAATGAACTTACTTGGCTGACAAGGCAGACAGACATCAGTAGGTGGAGGAGTGTTGGCCGTTCTTGCTTCTTGGAATCAACTAAATGTTGATCTTGCTGAATTGCTGTCTTCCTCTTAAATTCTCCTTCTCTTAGGATTTATATCCTGTTCAGAATGTCTCCTCTTTTTTTTTTTTTCCACAAATTGTTACTGATTTCAATTCCTTGATTTAGTGTTACTGACTTTACCGACTCAGCAGTCTCTTCTTTCTTCTGCTTCTACATCCTTATCTTGCACGGAGTAATAGCTTATGTGCTCTTTCACTTAGAGTAATAGCTACAGCACAACATTAATTTTTCTTTCAATAGAATTGTGACAAGGTCACACAGTATCCCTTCAATTTTATGAAAAATATAATTCTAAAAACATAAAGTCAAAATTAAAAGGAATATGCTGTAAATAAAATAGGTCAGCATTTGCTGATGTATACCTCCATAATGGCAGTTAAATTTTTGACCTGAGCAGTGTCTTTCTTCATGTAACAAAGCCTTTTGTAGGGCACTCTGCTTTTTATTATATCCTACCCTTGGCATGTATACTCACTGGTTCTTTACTATAGGTACCAGTTTATAGAAGAAGCTTTTCAGAACCAGAAAGTGATCATTGAGACTCTAATCACTAAACTGATGGAGAAGACTAAATATATAAAATGTACAGGGAAGCAGATCCAAAACAGGTATGTACTGGATTTTGAGGTTGAAACTGACAGATTGCAACTTTAATATACACTGTAATTTGTTGAAATGTTTAGATTAGTAGATTTTGTACCTCGGTCCTTATATGCTTCCAGAAAGAAAAATTGTAACATTTTCTTGGTCTTCCAAAAGCTTCAGTTTTCTATTGCATTGGGTGTCTTTTTGATGTGCTTACTATTAAGTAGCTCTTTTGCTCAACCTGTGGGAGCAGTAACTTGGGTGCAGTGAAACAAGTTATGCAATGAACTGTGCAGGAGGGGTCTTATATTCATCATCAGCGCACTTATTTTTTTTAGTGTAGATCCCTCTTAGAAAGTGAGAGATAATGACTCATGTTTTCATAATGCTTGTGACACACATTTGAAGATTTATGTAATACTTTTGTTCTTCGGGCTTTATTCACTCTGTACTGCAGCCCTAGCAGAGGAATGAATCTCTAAAACTCATGTAGCAATAGTCCTTTGTATCTGCTTCTTCAGCAGTTACAGGAAGATTCAACACGGTAGAAGTTGCTGAGTGTAACTTAAAGACAGGCAAGGAGGGAATACTTTAAGATAGTGGAGATGGAAAAAAAGAGCGGAAACCATTCTCCTCTACTGCAGCATCTTAGTGTTATTATCCCCTGTCATTTAGCAGTGCTTTTCACAATGTAAGTGTATGCCCTGTTACCAATTTGAGCATTACTGCTGAAATAACTAAATATAACTAACTAAATAACTATAATAACTATAATTTTACCATAGAATCATAGAATGGCCTGGGTTGAAAAGGACCACAATGATCATCTAGTTTCAACCCCCCTGCTATGTGCAGGGTCACCAACCACCAGACCAGGCTGCCCAGAGCCACATCCAGCCTGGCCTTGAATGCCTCCAGGGATGGGGCATCCACAACCTCCTTGGGCAACCCAATTCCAGTGCATCACTACCTTCTGTGTGAAAAACTTCCTCCTAACATCTAACCTAAACTTACCCTGTCTTAGTTTAAAACCACTTTTCTCATCCTATTACTATCCACCCTTGTAAACAATTATACCCCCTCCTGTTGATACTCATCCTTTAAGTACTGGAAGGCCGCAATGAGGTCTTCCAAGAGTCTTCTGTTCTCCAAGCTAAACAAGCCCGGTTTCCTCAAGCTTTCCTCATAGGAGAGGTGCTCCAGCCCTCTGATCATCTTAGGTGACCTCTCTCTGTACCCATTCCAAGAGTTCCACATCTTTTTTGTTCTGGGGGCCTCAGACCTGAACACAGTACTGCAGATGGGGCCTCAAAAGAGGGGGATGATCACCTCCCTCTCCCTGCTGGCCACCCCTTTTTTAATGCAGCCCAGGATGTAGTTGGCCTTCTGGACTGCAAGCGCACACTGCTGGCTCATGTCCAGCTTCTCGTCCACCAGGACCCCCAAGTCCTTCTCCGCAGGGCTGTTCTCAAGGAGTTCTTCCCTCACTTTGTATAAATACCTGGGATTGCCCAACCCAAGTGCAGCACCCTGCACTTGGCCTTATTGAACCTCATTAGGTTTTCATGGGCCCACTTCTCCAGCCTGTCCAGGTCCCTCTGGATGGCTTCCCATCCCTCCAGTGTATTGATTGCACCGCTCAGCTTGCTGTCGTCTGCAAACTTGCTGAGGGTGCGCTCAATTCCATTATCTATGTCATTGATAAAGGTTTTACACACTTAAGTCTTTAGAACTTGCCACCAGTGGATTAATTTTATTGTAGTTCACTGGTACTTGCTCTTTCTGTTTCTTCTAGTAATTTTTCTGACTAAAAGTGTGTGATTGTTTATGTATTAATTGGTGCATATGATCAGGGAATATTGTAGACTCAGCAGCACAGAAGTAGTTTAAAATTCTGTGTTTGAAATGTGGGTTTTTGACCTAAAGAATATAATTTTTTATACCGTTTACTTGCAGAATTCTTGAGATGAATCAGAATCAAAAGCAGGTGGAACAGGATATTAAAGTTGCCATATTTACACTGATGGTGGAAATAAACAAAAAGGGAAAGG